GGTTTAAAATTCAGAAAGGTGTGCGGCGGGGTTGGATTCTTCCACCATACTTGTTCACCCTGTATGCTGAGCAAATAATCTGAGAATCTGGGTCATATGAAGAAAAACGTGGCATCAGGGTTGGAGGAAGACTCATTAACAACCTGCGATATGCAGATCATACAATCTTGCTTGCTGAAAGTGAAGGGTACTTAAAATATTTACTGATGAAGATCAAAGAGCACATCCTTCGGTATGTATTGCATCTCAATGTCAAGAAAACAAAAATCCTCACTACTGGCCCAATAAACAACATTCTTATCAAAGGAGAAAAGATCGAAGTTGTCAAGGACTTCATTCTTCTTGAATCAACTATCAACACTCACTGAAGCAGCAGTCAAGAAATCAAATGACTTATTGCATTAGGCAAATCTGCTGCACAAGACTTTTTTAAGTGTTGAAAAGCAAAGATGTCAGCTTGAGGACTAAGGTGTGCCTGACCCATAACTTCATATGCATGTGAAAACTGGACAGTGAATAAAGAAGACCATTGGAGAATTGATGCTTTTGAGTTATGGTGTTGGAGGAGAATACTGCACGTGTTATGGGCTGCCAAAAGAACCAACAGATCTGTGTTGGAAGAAATGTTCCTTGGAGGCCAGACTGGCCAAACTTCATCTCTCATACTTTGGACATATTGTCAGGTGGGACCAGTTGTTGGAAAAGGATATCATGTTTGGTAAGGTGGAGGGTGAGAGAAAAAGAGGAAGACCCCCAGAGAGATGGATTGGCAAAGTGGCAGCATCAATGGGCTCAAGCGTGGCAACAATTGTGAGGTTGGCCGAGGATCAGGCAGTGTTTCATTCTGTTGTGCATAGGGTCGCTACGAGTAGGTATTGACTCTTTGGCACCTAATAACAACAAGAAGACTAAAATTGTTAGGGCAGCTTAAGAAGACAAGGTCAATATTATAATGAAATGTACAATAATCTGGAGTTAGAAAACCAACAGGGAAGAGTATCCTCAGCATTTCCAATCTGAAATAACTGAAGGAAAAACTCAAGCCTCAATTTGAAATATTGATGAATTCTCTGAGCAAAATATTGAATGATGTGGAAAGTATCGGAAGAAGGTGGAAGGAATATGGAGTCCCTGTACCAAAAAGAAATGGTTGAGTTCTACTATTTCAAGTGGTAGCATATGATCAAGATCCAATGCTACTTAAGTAGGAAATCCAACTGCACTGAAGGCATATGACTCCAGGAACTAACAGAATACAAATTGAAATCTTTCACCTAACTGATGCAGCCTTGGAGGCATTTACTTATCGATACCAAGAAATCTGGAAGACAACCAGTTGGAAGAGATCCATATTTATGCCTATTCAAAAGTGAGGTGACCCAAATGAATTGCAGAAACCATCAAACAATATCATTAATATCACTTGCAAGTAAAATTTGCTGGAGATAATTTTAAAACTATTACAGAAGTACATCAACAGAGAACTTCCAGAAATTCAAGTAGTATTCAGAAGAGGACACGGACATAGGATATCATTGCTGATACTAGATGGATATTGGCTAAAAGAAGAGAATAGCAGAAAGATGTTTCCTTATGCTTTATTGACTATAAGCAGAATTTTGACTGTG